ATGAATGAGGTTACTCTATTAGGGTTAGTTTGACTGGGAGACTTTTTCGGCAAGCCCATTATGCATGGACATAATGAGTTGTTCTGACCAGTACTGATTGTTGTAGGGCAGTTGCCTGTCGTAGTTGTAGTTCCCTTTCGGTGTATAATTGTATCTGTAATTCTGGAATGCAAGTGGATCTGGCATCCAGTTCCATACACTTTCCATGCTCCTCCTTTTGAATTCTCTTTCGGTCTGGTATACAAAAATTATAGAGTTTCCTCCAAATTCATTATCCTGCTTGCCACTCTTTATGTAGCGTTCCGTGCCTTTGACGTGAAAGTGTGGGCAGCTGAGGTCATAGCATTTTCTGTCCTCCAGTGAGGTTTGGCACATGTCAGGATGGGAAAACCTACATATTGATCCAAATCGACTCTCACCTTTCCTAAGCATATTTAAACATTTTTTAGGATGTTGGTAACTGCATTCTAATCCTTTCTTATTACCAGCATATCTATGTCTGCATATGCCCTTTGCATAAAATTTGCATAAGTCTGTCCTTCTGTTCTGACTCGCTCTATCGGGAACAGTTGTAGTGTCTGTACCTATCGAGCTGTCAGTGCTGTCTGTTACACTTTCTAGTTTACTGTCATCTACATCCGGGCCTACTGAGTCAGAGTTTACAACTTCCTGAGTTTCAGCCTCTGTTTCATCCCTGACTATAGCGGCCGCCCCTTGTATATTAGAATTATTGCTGTTCCTTTCCCTCTCCTTCTGGATGGCTGGTACGCTTTCAATGAACGATGTTTTCCGTTCATGCGTCATGTTATCTAGAAGGTTTTTTAGGATATTCCACGTTGGCAGGTCATTTTTACACACCCAGAGCAAGTGGCCAGCTCTCAGTGCCGTAGTGTTACTCACTCCTGTACAAGCCGAATGAAATCTATTCTTACAGATATAACATTCAATTCCCGTTGCCTTCGACTTTAAGGAGTTGTTACAGTGGCCACAAATTTGTTTATTTACTTCCATTTTGCCTTGTTTTGTTGTATATATCTATATATTTATAATATTATATGTATACCGTATATTTGTAACAATATATATGTCTATTTGTTCTACTGTATGGTCAGTACTTATCGCACGGTGGAGGGTGAGGGTCCCAGAAACTGTACAGTTGACCCGTTGTTGTCCCAGGCCGGGGCTGGAGGCCCTCACTTGCCAGTTACTTGGGTTATAACACTGATATATTAATTCGCTTGTATTACAATAAGGGATTTTCTGCTTTATTTCCGACTTGCAATAGTATTCACTTTCTATTACTAATTTCTTGATCCACATTCCTCTATTACACTTGTTGGAAACCAATTTGCTAGTAAGCACACACACACACACACACACACACACACACACACACACACACGGTCAGTACACACACACACACACACACACACACGGTCAGTACACACACACATCACATCAGACCTGTCCCCCTGAAGCTCATATCAAGAGGATAACATCAGCAGCATATGCCAGGTTGGCTAACATAAGAACGGCCTTTAGAAACTTGTGTAAGGAATCTTTCAGAACATTATATACCACATATGTCAGACCAATCCTGGAGTATGCGGCTCCAGCATGGAGTCCATATCTAGTCAAGCATAAGATTAAACTGGAAAAGGTTCAAAGGTTTGCCACCAGACTAGTACCCGAGCTGAGAAGTATGAGCTACGAGGAGAGACTACGGGAATTGAACCTCACTTCGTTAGAAGACAGAAGAGTTAGGGGAGACATGATCACCACATTCAAGATTCTCAAGGGAATCGACAGGGTTGATAAAGACAGGCTATTTAACATAAGGGGCACACACACACACTAGGGGACACAGGTGGAAACTGAGTGCCCAAATGAGCCACAGAGATATTAGAAAGAACTTTTTTAGTGCCAGAGTGGTTGACAAATGGAATGCAAGGATCAGAGAACACTGTATAAACATCAGAGGTCCGCGGTTGTTCAACGTCCTCCCAGCAAGCATAAGAAATATTGCCGGAACACCCGTGGACATTTTCAAGAGGAAACTAGATTTATTCCTCCAAGGAGTGCCGGACCAACCGGGCTTTGGTGGGTATGTGGGCCTGCGGGCCGCTCCAAGCAACAGCCTGGTGGACCAAACTCTCACAAGTCGAGCCTGGCCTCGGGCCGGGCTTGGGGAGTAGAAGAACTCCCAGAACCCCATCAACCAGGTAACCAGGTATCATTAGGAAGTAATGTGGTGGAGAATACACAGTTTCAAGTGTAGATATGATAGAGCCCAATAGGCTCAGAAACTTGTAAACCTGTTGATTGACGGTTGAGAGGCGGGACCAAAGAGCCAGAGCTCAACCCCTGCAAGAACAACTAGGTGAGTACAACAAGGTGAGTACGGTAGGCACACGGGACGTGGGTCTATGGGGAGGGTTCTGGCACCACGAGGTGGACTCCACACAAAATTCACTTGTTATTTCCTTAAAGCACAAAAGTCAGATGTCAATCACTATGGTATATTGTTTAACAAGTTGAGACGCACTTTATGAGATATCTGACTGTGTTTAGTTCCTGTATCACTGAAATATCCCGAGACATGTGTTGTTTTTCACAGAGCTCGTGCTCACGTGTGCTTCCCCTCCCCGCACGCTACCAGACATACCAGGTACTATGGTCGTCCATCCATAGTGACAATAGGTACTGTGTAAGTCCATCTATAGTGACAATAGGTACTGTCTATATCCATCCATAGTGACTATAGGTACTGTGTATGTCCATCCACAGTGACAATAGGTACTGTGTATATCCATCCATAGTGACTATAGGTACTGTGTATGTCCATCCACAGTGACAATAGGTACTGTGTATATCCATCCAAAGTGTCTATAGATGCTGTGAACGTCCATCCATAGTGACAATAGGTACTGTGTACGTCCATCAATAGTGACTATAGGTACTGTGTACGTCCAACCATCTGACTATAGGTAGTCTGTATGTCCATCCATAGTGACTATTGGTACTGTGTACTTCCATCCATAGTTACTATAGGTACAGTGAACGTCCATCTATAGTAACTATAGATACTATGCTCGTCCATCCATAGTGACTATAGGTACTGTGTATGTGTATTTATAGTGACTATAGGTACTATGTAAATCCATCCATAGTGACTATAGGTACTGTGTACGTCCATCCCTATTGACTTAAGGTACTGTGTATGTCCATTCATAGTGATTATAGGTACTGTGTAGCTACGTACCTATCCTTAGTGACTATTGGTACTATGTACCTTCATCCGAAGTGACTATAGGTACTGTGTACGTCAATCAATAATGACTACAGGTACTGTGTAAGTTCATCCATAGTGACTATAGGTACTATGCTCGTCCATCCATAGTGACTATATATATACTATTTTCGTCCATCCATAGTGACTATAGGTACTATGGTCGTCCATACATAGTGACTATAGGTATTATGGTCGTCCATCCATAGTGAATATAGGTACTATGGTCGTCCATCCATAGTGACTATAGGTACTATGGTCGTCCATACATAGTGACTATAGGTACTATGCTCGTCCTTACATAGTGACTATAGGTAGTATGTTCTTCCATCCATAGTTACTGTAGGTACTGTGTACGTCCATCCAAAGTGACTATAGGTACTATGGATAGTCACTATGTACGGACGAACATAGTACCTATAGTCACTATGGATTGACGAGCAAGTTCCTATAGTCACTACGGATGGACGAGCATGGTACCTATTGTCACTATTGATGGACGAGCATGGTACCTATTGTCACTATTGATGGACGTACACAGTACATATAGTCACTATGGATAGAATTTGATTGTTGCCGCGGGAGGCAGCTAGTTTATTGTTCATCCCATACCCACCCTGTGAGCGGTAGCGCAAAAAGCATTACAGAGGGCACAAAAGGTCTTTATCTGACCTCATCTAAGATTATTACATAAACAATTTCATCTATCCTTCACAACTTATAGTTACAATGTCAGCTAGTTAGAGAAAGTGCTATTTCAAGAGCTATATATTTACAGTAAGTCATTATACATTAATGGTAGGTCTTATCGCTAATACATAATAGTTTGACCAATTGGGATATTACAGAGTCATAGGGGAGCTTCTGTTTACTCTTAGTCTTCACAATACACTACTTGTTTCTTAATATCAAATGTCGTTTATCTACTGGAAGCGAAATATGGATACAGTGCAAGGATTTCAGGTAATTTATCAATGGTAATAAGATAGGTTGCCATATCATACAGAGTGAGCTTAGATTTATCTTTAAATGGCTCAATTTTACTACATTCCAAGATATAGTGTTCGAGTGTGTAGGGCATCTCATCAGACGTTCATCCATAGTGACTACAGATACTATGTTCATTCATCCATAGTTACTGTAGGTACTGTGTACGTCCATCCATAGTGACTACAGGTACTGTGTATGTCCATCCATAGTGACTATAGGTACTGTGTACGTCCATCCAGAGTGACTTTAGGTACTGTGTATGTCCATACATAGTGACTATAGGTACTGTATATGTCCATCCAGAGTGACTATAGGTACTGTGTATGTCCATCCATAGTGACTGTAGGTACTATGCTCGTCCGTTCATAGTGGCTATTGGTACTATGGTCGTCCGTCTATAGTGACTATAGGTACTATGCTCGTCGTTCATAGTGGCTATAGGTACTATAGTCGTCCGTCCATAGTGACTATAGGTACTATCGTCTGTGAATGAGAGGCTGTGCTTGATGCTGACGGCGACAAGACTGAATACATCATTCCCAAGATTCTTCAACAAATTGGAGACATAATGGCGCCAGAATTACGAGAATATTATTGTAACAATTATCTTATTGTACTCATTGCTGTGCCTAAAATCTTCAGTGAAGTCAGTCATGAATCGAGTGACGAAACTGACAGACATAGAAACATGGACACGTGTACAGTATATATGTCTCCTTACCTTGCGTATACTTGTCGTCAAGAGTCAGGTGAGTGGAGATCAGGTCCGTCAGGTTAGCCATCACCATCAGCATACTTCTCACACCTGTAAACAGTTCCCACCATTAAAGTATGTGTACTGGTGCTTAATGGGGATGTTTTTATATAATCAGCAAATATTTTGTTTACTAACGCATTAACCCTTAAAGTGCGCATCACGTCATATGACGTGCTGGACGTTGTTTCAGTAAACTGTGCATCACGTCATATGATGTGTTGGAGTACTACGCAAGATTTAAACAGCCCGCGGATACACGGGGTTCACCTCACCTTCATCAGGGCTCTTGTAAACAGACGCCATTTTTTAAAAAAATCGTGGGCCAATCTCCCAGGTGTTATTGGCCTCAGTATTGAGTGAGCAACCAAGCCTGACGCACGCAGCATGAGCTAACAGCACTGCTGTTCAGCTTGTGACCACAGCATCGCCTAAAAATGACAAATTATACTTGTTCATGCTATTATGTAGCGATGATATTATACAGAAGGCCCATGACTGTGATAAAACTGACCAGGGTTCTGATAATAGCAGGATTGTGGTGATATTTAGCGCTGCGCCATGGAAGGAGGTGTAATGCTGTGAGAGGGAGGGTGGTTGTGAGATTTTTATTCTTTGACAGGTTATCAAAAGAATTAAGTCCTATTGATGTTACGTTAATCGCAACTACCTCGCAAGAGAGGCAGACCTTAAACAGCAAGAGCTGCCAGTGGCAGATATTTAATCTTAAAGCCTAAGATCATAGGACCGCGGGAACAAACCGCCAGGTGAAACCACTCGGGTAACACCTGTCACTTAGGTCGCTGGCTCCTCCTAGTTAACAAACTAATAAAGGGTAGCCGACGGATTCTCACTTCTTATTTATAGAAGTGTGGTGCTGTGCAATGGACTCGAGCTTTAGATACAGACTTGATATGAACATAAGCAGGCAAAGCGTTGCAGAACATGAAATGTGGGGCAGTAATATTGGAAGGTTTGACGTAAACGACCGTTTCTAAACAAAACAATTTATTCACAAAACAAGAACTAAAACTACTACACAGTGAATTTACGTTACTTTACTGTCACTCCAGTGGCACATTAAAGAACAGCTAATCAACAGCCTGATGGACCCACGGTCTCCTTATCCCGTCGTCGCTGACTGAAAACCCCTTATAAAAAAAATCTTACGTTAACACTTGTCTCTCAGGACAATCAAAACAAAAGTTACTCTAATTGAATTTAAACAATTACGTTAACACACACGTGTCTCAACGACACTTAAATGGCATCAATAACTCGTAAATCAATTAATTACATCAACTTGAAAGTCAAGCATTCGGTGAGTAATTCCCAATTAATTACTGAATTCAACAGCCTATTAATTCAGACGAGTATTGACAAAGCCTACTGTCTCTCAACTGACAGTTCACTTCCGGTCTTACGACAAGATTACCTTAACGAGGGTAGACTACTGTACCACACACAATGTTCCAATACTCCGTGTAAACAACAACATCAACACCTGGTGAATTCACTAAGTGGCGATTACTAATTCTCTCTAATTAGCTACGAGTGCTTAATCACTCTGTCCGCAGACAGAGCTGATCAGTCCAACGAATTACAACAGCTTAATTACAGCGCAATTGACTCCGATCATAACAGACCGTCAACCCCTTACGTTAATCACTCAATTAACGACAGCTCGTTAAATCGTTAACACTACGTTAGTCTTCACTTGACAATTCCTCCACTGCGTGAACTTCACTGTGACTGTTGCCTTTACACGTCCCTACGTTAATCACAACAATGTTCAACGAACAAGTGACCTCGTTAAGTAAATCGTGACCCCCGGTGACGTTAACTGACTTTAATTCTCACGGAATCCTTCACAGTACACAACGCCTTCCACCAAGGTCAAACTTGTCTACGGTTTACACACACAGTACAACACAGTACATCACAGTACAACACAGTACATCCTTGCCACTCACGGCAAAACTTGTAAATGACTTCCCCCAGTAAATTATCCACCAATAATTCACACTTTACCACAAAACAACAGTAAAATATATAACCAAGGGAAATCTCCCTGTTACCACTTTTCACTGCTGAAAAAGGGAATCAAATTACAGCGAATACATACACGGCACATAGAAAAAAATATAGAAGTAAATAACTCACTTTACTCTACCTCTGAATGTGTCACTAGGTGTCTTCACACACGTCATAAATCACAGTTGGGCCCAATCCTCAACTTGATGACAAACAGGGTAGACTCACACGTCTCCAATTCCCATTCACCTCCCCAGGTGGTCCCAGGGACAGAGGACAGACGGAACACTGGGGGCGAACCCAGCTTCAGAGTTTTATTACCCAAACGGAAACAGTGTACTTACATCAATCATGTGGGGCCCCGCTCTTTCACTCACACATACACGTCAATCACACTCCCACTGCTGCTGCTGGATGATGACGTAGGCGTCCTCACTTCCTACACGTGGTCAGGTGGAGCACAGGGTCCTAGACCACGGGGTTAGCTCTACACACACAGAGACCAGGATGGCGCAGACACACCGGCTTAGGCAAGCCAGGGTGCGCACAACAGCAGGAATGCGGTACCACGCCCCTTCCACTTGACACGGTACCCCAGGATACGATGGTACACGGTGTTACACGGTACACGAGACCCGAGAGAGTCCTTCACTGTTCCTCAGAATTATAACATTTAAGGTTTCTCTCATAACACTGAAACCTTTTCTAGCACGTCTCACAGCAGTATCTTCAAGCACAGATACGATCGACGGCGGATGTCGCTTTTGTAGCCCGATAATAAACTACGCCTCACTCAGTCCAGTTCCTCTAAGATGGCGTCCCACAATTACGCGGCTAGATGACAAGTTCTCACGGCTTGATACAAGCCCCTTTCCGATTACCGGATTCTTACCCACGGCACACGGAAAGATAGCAAGATGTAGGCGTGACTTTAGTAACGTTGCAGGCGGTATTTCCCGATGCTTGGCCTAGCACGGGAAATGTCCTGTCCTCGGGCAGCAACGTCCTAGGTAAGAATGTCTTTCCCGCCAATATCATGCCTGGGGTACAATGCAGTACCCCTCAGCGTCTTGGCCAATCACGGTTCAGCATTTCTGAGGCCCCAGAGCCTCAGCCAATGGCATACCTGCCCCATGACGCTACCCCCTCTCTCACGAGGTGGACACGTGATAGGGGGGGTGGTCTACGGCCGTTAACCCCCCATACCTCCCTCTCTACACTTGACTTGTACAAAATTTCCCTGAAATCAACTCCCTCCTGTAATTTCCTTCACAGACCTGATACAGCGATCAGAATGACATCAATGGCTAGCAAATGTCATGGGCTGTCCAACGACACCCAACACGACTGTGGAAAAGTTATATCCAGAAAGTTGAATCACGGTGCACATCACTGGTGCACTATGCAATTTCGTACTTAATTCAGTGCACGAGAGAGCAGGGAAAATATGTCCCCTGACATCAACCTCCCACTAAGGGTTTATTTCACTGGAAGCGAAATACACCCCACCATTTTACCAGCTCGATGGTGCACTGTGCACGAGCTGTCACACACACCTTGACAGCTCACTTCCGGCTGGGTAGTGGTGGGTGGAGACTCCGTTTTCTATGCGTCGTCGCCCTGAGAGACTTGGGGTGACTCCTCCGATTCGTCCTGGGTAGTGTTACCTGACTTAGGCGCAGAGTGCTCGGCTCCAGGGCCAGGCTCTAGCCGGCTCGACGCCTCGAAGCTAGGCTGAACCCCAAGCTCTGCAGCTCCGGCTTCAGTCTGTGTCATACCGGACACACTAGCAACACCCTGGGATGGACTACCCGGAGAGGCTCTATCTTCACTCTCCTCCGACCTTGATGACGCATCATCGCGTTCCTCATAGCGTTTTAACATGTTAACATGGTACTTCTTATTGACCCCCCTTACGCATACGACGTACGTCAATGAGTGACTGCACTCAGTGATGGTGAAGGGTCCCTTCCACTGTAGCAGGAGCTTGTTCCTGCTTGTAGGGAGGAGTAGGAGTACTTTATCTCCCACCTTAAACTTCCTCTCCCTGGCCTTCTGGTTGTACCTGCTCTTCTGGTACTCTTTAGTTTTGGCGAGTTCCTCCCTGGCCAACTTACACGTCTCTTCTAGACGGTTCCTCAAATCTATGACTTACTCATACGTCGTCTTGGTTTCTGGGGTACAGTCTTCCTCCTCCCATAGGTTCTTCAACACATGCAGCGGTCCCTTTACTGTGCGACCATACAGGAGCTCGAACGGTGAGAACCGGGTACTTGCCTGGGGTACTTCCCTGTAGGCAAACAATACCGGGTTAATGTACCTTGGCCACTCCTTGGGTTGCTCTATGCACATCTTCCTGAGCATTCTCTTTAGGGTACCATTAAACCGTTCCACCAACCCATTTCCCATAGCATGATAAGGTGTGGTGAATGATGGCTGCAACATGAGTAGCCTAGCTACTTCCGCCATCATCTCACTGGTGAACTGTGCCCCCCTGTCGCTGTGTATCTTCTCCGGTATACCTAAGCGACTGAAGAATCCAACCAATGCTTCCGCCACTGTGACGGTCTCGATATTCTTCAAAGGTGCCGCCTCTGGATACCGAGTAGCATGATCTACCATGGTCAGGATATATCTACTGCCGTCTGATGCCCTCGGCTCAATCGGGCCAATTATATCTACACTGACCATCTTAAATGGTTGATCAATGATGGGGAAAAGCTTCAGCTTCCCTGGCTGCACCTTACCTCTGTCAGCGGTGCGTTGACAGGCGTCACATGACCGAGTGTACCGCTGTACGTCCCCAGTCATCCCTGGCCAATAGAACGATGACTGAATTCGTTCACTGGTCTTAGCATGTCCCATGTGACCCCCCATTACTCCCTCATGACCGAGAGTAAACACAGCTAGGCGATGCTCTTTGGGGACCAGTAATTGTTCCCAAGTGTCCTGGGATGTTTCCACCCTGCGCACTAGCTTACCCTTAACCTCCAAGTACTTATACTTGCGCTTATTCA